TCATGGTAAATACCCTGAACCGGATATGTGTTTTATTAAAAAGTGGGCTCTGTGGGCCTAAAAAACCTTACACACCAGACCTCATTTAGCGTAAGCCTTAGCACGCCTCATTGCGTAGGTTTTATTGTGTATGCCTTTACGCACATGACGTACGCTTTAACCATGTTCACCATATCAATGCAACATTACGCAATTAACCTGGAAATAGGCGAGACGCGCCGCGCGCCATAAGGCGCTATGGCGTTGTGCAATTGCAAACGTTGGTTGAGAGGTGAGGAGGAGAGGGAAGACAGACGTGGATTAGAGGAATCAGGAGTGAGATGTTTCTTTTTGGGTTGGACAATATTAGGAATATATTAAGTTGTAACTACTTACCTAACTAGCTACTTAATATTGTTGAGTTATGACTTGTTAGTTAGTTAGTTAGAAGCTTCTGTACTCCTATAAATACGTTGTAATAGCATCAGTTACAATCAATAAACAAATTTTCTATTCTTCATTTCTTCTCTTGTTCAGTTTATCAAAATGGTATCGAGAAGTTCACCAGAAAAAGATTATTTCCAGCAGAGGAACTTATCCGCTTCCACTCAAACTGGATTCGAACAACTATCTTTGCTGAAGTTTGTTATTCATCCTGATATACCACCTCGCTTTCTCAACGATGAACAGGAAACTGATGGAATTGTCAACGAAGCCTTCATCGCTGGGGAACAGCAAGATCAAATGTTATTTTCATGGCTACTCTCCTCGCTGAAACTTTGCATGCTCGTGTCATTCATTGCGAAGGCGGTGCAACTTAAATCTGAGCTTTATTCCACGGTCAAAGGTGATCGGTCCATATGCAAGTATCTTCTCAAAATTCAAACAATATGTGACAGTCTATTATCCATTGGTGAACCAATATCAGCTAAAGACCACATCAATGTCATACTTGAAGGTTTACCAGAAGATTACGAATCCCTAGTTTCATCAATTTCTGCTCGAAGTGCTTTAGATCCGGCTACATACTCTGAGGTCGAATCCTTACTTCTCGCAAAAAAAGTGCGCATTCGCAAGCTTCGCGAATCCTCAAAGACTACATTGTTTTCAGCTAATGTTACACGTATTGAAGATCTCTCCCTCACTACTTCTTAGCAATCAAATTCAAATGAGAATTCTGCTCAGTTTGCTCAATTTGACAATACACATCCAGGTGGTTATTGAACCAGAGGAAGAGGACATAATTCTAATTCCAGAGGTGTTTTCGTGGAGGAGGGAGAGATCAGGAGGACGTTCTTCTATTTTTTACCAAGTCTGTGGCAAAACAGGACACAATGCCCTTATGTGTTACCATCGTTTCAACCCAGGCTACAATTCTCAGTCTAATAATTCTTCAAATAACTAGAACAAGCATCAAATTCCTACCTATCCTCCATTCCCTATGCCTCGTCCACCACAGCTCTCACAAGAGCCTCCATCACCAATGTTTCACTATCATCAACCTGCTCCTAATCTCACACCAACTGAAAATTCCAATTGGGCTTCACATTTCCATACTTTTGCCAACAATCCATTCTGCTGCTTGGGCTATTGCCTATTGCAAACTCATCCATACAGGGGACCTGCACCACAACAACACTCTTCTCAGCCTTGGTTTCCAGATTCTGGTGCAACTCACAATGTTACTGCAAATCCTTTAAGCATTCAATATCATGATTCATCTGCTACACCTACTGATAAGCTCTTTATGGGCAATGGTCAAGGTTCGGACATTAAGTCTACTGGGTTTTCTAATTTCCTTTCCCCTTACAATTCATCTTTGTCTCTTAACTCTTCAAAATATGCTCTATGTTCCTAATATTACTAAAAATGTGATCAGTGTGAGTAAGTTTGCCAATGATAATCATGTCTTCTTTGAGTTTGTTACCCTTTTGAATGTTTTGTCAAATCCCAGGGTTCTAAACAGGTCCTTATGCATGGTGTGCTAGGCAGTGATGGTCTCTATAGATTTGATTCTTTTCCAGACCTTACTTCAGCTAAAGATGCTCCTGTTTGCACTCTGAGTCAACATTCTACTCCTAACTATGATCAGCCAACTAGTAGTAGCATTGCTTCATCTTGTTTCAATAATCAAATTTTATGTATAAATTTGTTCAAAACTTGTCTTTTTTCCAGTGCAGGAATTGCAATGATGTTTGTAATCTTTGGCATCTTAGACTTGGTCATCCTCATTTTGAGGCATTAAAGTTTGTTCTCAAAGAATGTAATGTTCCCAATACATCTAAGAATGAAATGAATTTTTTGTTCTGCTTGTTGCCTTGGTAAAGCACATCGTTTACCATTTCATTCTTCTACAACTACATTTTGATCTATGGGGGACCAGCTCCCATTACTTCTTTTAATGGCTATTCTTACTATATTTCTTTTATTGATGTCTATACTAGATACACTTGGATCTATTTTCTCAAAAACAAATCTGATGCTCTTTCAGCCTTCAAAAACTTCTATTCTTATGTCAATACTCAATTTACTTGTATATAATCCATCCAATCTGATTGGGGTGGTGAATTCAGATCCTTTACTCAATTTCACACTGAAAAGGGCATTACACACAGACTCATCTGCCCTCACACTCACCATCAAAATGGTGTAGTGGAACGCAAGCATAGATCTATTGTAGAAAAAGGTTTAAGTTTACTTGTTCATTCCTCTCTTCCTTTCAAATTTTGGGATGCTGCATTTGCTACATCTGTCCATTAACAGAACACCCTCACACTCTATTTCTAACCAAGTCCTTATACTAAACTATACAAATCCATTCCAGATTATAACTTTCTTGAGATATTTGATTGCTCTTGTTACCCTTTTCTTAGACCATATAATAAACACAAGTTTGATTTTCATTCTGAAGAATGTGTTTTTCTGGGTTATTCACCCCAACATAAAGGCTACAAATGTTTAGCTTCTAATGGCAGAATCTACATATCTAAGGATGTCATCTTTAATGAGTCAAAATTTCCTTATCCCTATCTTTTCTCTAACTCACCTCATACTCTCAGTTCTAATCAAATCTCTAATACACCATTAACTGTTCTACAGAGTCCTATCTCTTCATCAAATACAGTTTCAAAATCATGAGTTTCTCCTTCTTCTCTACATAATAATGACCATCAATCCTCCTTACATTCTTCACATTCTTCTACCTCTACTTCCTCTACCTCTAATAATTCAACTTCTTCTACTTTGGAGTCTATAAATCATGATTCATAGATCATCAATACCCGGCCTATCTCTCTTGTTCCTTCCTCTAATATTCATCCTCTAATATCCTTTTGACAGTTAATGGTCAAATCTCTAATACACCATTAACTGTTCTACAGAGTCCTATCTCTTCATCAAATACAGTTTCAAAATCATGAGTTTCTTCCTCTTCTCTACATAATAATGACCATCAATCCTCCTTACATTCTTCACATTCTTCTACCTCTACTTCCTCTACCTCTAATAATTCAACTTCTTCTACTTTGGAGTCTATAAATCGTGATTCACCTATCATCAATACCCGGCCTATCTCTCTTGTTCCTTCCTCTAATATTCATCCTATGAACACTAGAGCTAAATCTGGAATAGTAAAACCTAGACTTAGTCCAACCTTGCTCTTAGCTCATACTGAGCCAACATCAGTTAAACAAGCTCTAAGCTCACCTGAGTGGCATAGAGCTATGCAATCAGAATATGATGCATTGATGTCTAATAATACATGGTCTCTTACTTCTCTGCGACCTGATAAGCAGGCTATTGGATGCAAGTGGGTGTTTAGATTGAAAGAGAACCATGACTGCTCTATTAAATGCAAGTGGGTGATTAGTTGCAAAAGGTTTTCATCAACAATATGGTTCTGATTTCAGTGAAACATTTTCTCCAGTGGTTAAGCCCGTCATTATAAGAATTCCCATAGCGGACCGCCTCTGAGGGAAGCGCCGGGCATCCCAATGAATTTCCCTGTTTGTGTTACGGGTATTGAATCAATAGCTCACTCAATGGTTTAATATCCTTTTGGAGCTGAATTGTGGAATAAATTGGGGTGGCCGGGTGGGATTTGCCAAATCCGATTTGGGTGCTAACTCAGATGGCTCTGGGGTGGTTTGAATTTTTTTTGTCATCCAAAGTGAGTAGTGTAGTGTGATGATAGTTTGTTTGGGGGGGGGGGGGGGGGGGGGCAATGCCAAAACAGCAAACTTTAGAGGGGAGAGGAGGTTAGTTTGTACCAGGCATAAGTGTTGGGGAGACCTTTGCAGCTGAATTGGAGACGGGTGCATGAGAAAGGCAACCAGCTGCAGGAGGTGTAAAACCTTGGAAAAAACGGAGTTTGGCCGTATTAAGCTGAAGATGGACGCAGCAGCGAAGGAGGGCGCACTAGGGTGGATGCTTCGTGATCATTTGGAGAATTTTATGGCAAGGGGTGCTTCGCCTTGGAAAGAGGCTTGTCTTTCAACGGAGGCTGAGTTTGGCTTGGTTATAGATGATAGATATAGCTACGAGTTTTCAAAGCATTTATCTCTTTTGTTAGACGATCCGCAAACTGGATTGCTCACGAACTAGTGAGAGTAGGCATTTCTTTGGGTGATTTTCAAGTTTGATTATGGGATCCTTCATGTATCTTGAACGTTTTAGCTCATGACTTTATTAATAATAGCTAAGTTGATTCAGTTCAAAAAGGGGGCAGGGAACTCATACGAAGTAAGAGGGGAGAGTTGATGAATGATGATGGAAACCTTTTGAGAAAATTGCACTAAATAGGACTAAAACACGGGAGTATTCCCTAAATAGGACATCATGTTTTATATCCCTAAATAGGGTTAAACATTACATTTCTACCCTTAGACATTCCATATCTACCTTTGGATCAACACTTACATGAGTTTTCAATCGTTTTCCAGATTAATCAAGCAATTAAGACACAAAGTCACATAAAAAGGTATAAAAACTATGCCTAAAGAATACAATAAAAAAACACTAACCTCCTCAACTGCATTGGCAACACTAAGACCAGCCAATTCCTACGATGAAGACGACAACAAATCAAAGACTTAAGTGTCAGTTTGGAACCCCGAAAATACAGCCGAAGGAGATTATGGAGGCAAACTGAAATGAAAAGAAATTGGGATAGACCACACGATATGCTCAAACTTTATATATAGATTCTATATATTTGTTTGAAATATTTTACTTGCTTATTTCTATTATAGCTCTACGAAATTGTGTACATTTCAAAAAGTAATCATATTCCACTCTCCTAATTCATTTTATCAGGTAAACCCATATTGCACATAAAATAATAACTATCCTAAGCACTTCTCTTTTCCCTAGCATTTTCTAGCATGCAAACATACCCTAACAGAACCTCGCTACAAAAGATTTTTTTACAGCCATCATTTACAAACCATAAGCTGATCAACACTGAAGCCAAAAGGACCCATGAGCAATTCATCTATTTCCGCAGCTTCTTGCTGCCTCAGGTACGAGATACAATCAGGGCCATGTTGAATGCTATCTACTTTCTTCTCCATTCCCCTCGACCCAACCCAACTGGACCCGGCCTGAGATTTCAAACCCTGCAATCCACAACCAGAGAGAAACCTGTTAACAATCGAGAGAGAACTTACACACGCAGAGAGATGAGAGAGCAGGGATACAGAATACAGACCGATAGACGAAGAGGAGAAGCTGCGAGAGGCTGGGAATTTGGGATATGAAGAAGAGGGATGGATGAAAGGGGAAGGAAGATTCGGTATACAAGGCATCTCATGGTCTCAGGTTTCCTCAGCCATTGATGATGATGATGCGGTAACGCCTTCCAAAGAACGGTTTTATCCGTTACCAGTTGTCCAGTGCAGATATAACTCATACTCCGTACTTCACATGCTCATACCACTGCAACTGGCCCAACAACCACCACCTACCCGAGGCCGTAACTGCACACCCCTCGGGCCCAAGCATGGGCGGACAGCAAGACCCTCAACAACTTTTCTAGGGTATATATATATATATATATATATATATATATATATATATATATATATATATATATATATATATATATATATATATATATATATATATATGGGCGGACAGCAAGATCCTCAATAATTTTCACCCTCTCAAAAAATAAATTTCAAAAAATATTTTGAATCCCAAAAAATATTTTCGCTTTAAAGCATAGCCCACACAGAGGCTTAATTGTTTAAAAGTCTAAACAAATAGAACTTACAGAAGTAATATTATATTAGCCAATCCAAGACTCAAGGAAGATACACAACCAAAACCAGATGGAAAAAGTTAATGACGAGGCTAGATGTGCTTTCCTAAATCACGTGAGCCAAGATCCATGTTCTCCGCACAATGATTCTTGGAAAGTTGTCAAAACTTATTGAATCAATCTCGCCATATTGACAAAGTCATCGAAGCACAAACTCTAGAGATGAAGGAAGGTAACCGCCATATGACTTTGTCCAATGACTAGGCACAATAAACAATCTCGTACACCGCCATCTAAAGACTCGGCTTTTGATGATAAAATAAGGAAGTTGAATGCAAGAAAAGCCGAGATGGAGGCTAACAAGAAAGAAGTGGAAAATAGAGAGAAGGAAGTAACATCCAAGAAAACCAAAATTGCTCCCAAGCTAACGGTGCAAGATGCACCTACAACAAAGGAGATCAATTTACATGAAGCTAATGCTACTAAGGAGCCACAAGTTATGGAGGATGTCTCCCTCAAAGCTATGGTGGAAGATTCTTTCTCGGGGGTGTCTAAACCGGTGGAGCCCGCGTCTATCAAAGTAGGCTCCATTGAATTCTCCTTCAAGCAAATTCAAGAGGAGCAACGTGAGGAGAATGCAAGAATTGATGGCCTTGTGGAAGATGAGGATGATGTGGAAACGGGGAGTGTTGATTCCCTTTTTGAAGTTGGAAATAAAGAAAAGAAGGAAGAGTCAAAGAAGAATGCTTGGAATCAATTATTCCAAAACAATCGGTCCATTGAACATGGCATGAAGTTGGAGTATATTCCTCCAAAAGGTGAAAAGGTAGATTTCTCTCATAGAAAACTCCCTACTATTATTGATATTTGGGGGTATTGCTTGGTGGGGTTTGTTTCAGGTAGATTCCCGGGCATGCGAGCATTCCATGATCTATCCATCAAATGGGGAGTCCCATGCAAGCTCAAGCAACATGACAAAGGGTGGGTGATCTTCCAATTTCAAAGTGAGAATGACCGTAACAAAGTCATGGCCGAAGGGCCCTATGCCCTTTATGGTAAGGCCGTGTTCCTAAGGATATTATCCGAGGACTTTGACTTTGATGGTGAGGAATTTTTAAAAGTCCCAATATGGGTTAAATTCCCCGGCCTATCGGTTACACTTTGGAACAAGCAAGAGATGAGCGAGCTTGCCTCTAGAGTTGGAGTCCCTATTGTGGCGGACAAGGTGACTCAAGAAAAATCGAGGTCTCAATTCGCTAGGGTATTGGTGGAGGTTGACCTCTCTAGGCCACCTACTATGTCCATCCCGATTATACAACCGTCCGGTAAGGAAAGGACTCAATATGTCATATATGAAACTTTTCCTAACTATTGTTTTGAGTGCAAGGTTTATGGACATCACCCCTTTACATGCAAAGTGTTAAACAAGGAGTTGGTAGAGAATGAGGATGCAAAAGCTACCAACAACATTGTAAGTGTAGCCAATACCGCGGCTAACAACTCAAAAGAAGGGGGTTCCAACCAACCCGGTGACATTCCGAAGGGAAAAAGAGGCTTCAACGTGAGTGGAAAGAAATCAAAGGATGATGGCAAAGGGAAGGAAATTTGGGTTGAAAAGAAAAAGAATGATGTGCAAGAGAATGGGGAGTGGGTGGAGGCCAAGAAGAAAAAGAAATGGGTCTCTAAACCCAAAGCAAATGTGCGCAACTTGATCACGCCAAAGGTTCCTACTCCTAAGGCGCCTACAACTAATGCCGCGGCTTCAACTTCTACACCTAAGGCCACGGCCCCTGCTGCCCAGGCCCCTAAACAGGCTGCCCAAGCCCCAAAACAGGCTGCCCAAGCCCCAAAACAGGCTGCCAGTGCCCCAAAACAAACTGCCGAGGCAGTAAAAGTTGCACCGAGGCTCACCGTTCCTAAACAAACTGCCAAGACTTCAAAGGCATCTTCCGGGAGCAAATCAAGTGAAAAGGCTATCAATTTTCCGAAGAGTGGGAACATTAGCTTTGATGAATTGGGGGTGAGATCATTCGCAATGTATATGATATCCAAGAGGGAGATGTGGTCACTAGAATCGTTTATGATGATAACAAAAAGAAGACCATATATGTAATGCAAAAGAAGGACATCCCATCGCATCACCAAATCAAGAGGCTTGGACCGGAACTACAAAAAGTGAGGGATGACGAGGGAGGAATCTCATTCACGGATGAATGCCTTCGAAAGCTTCCGGGAGTGACACCGCATTATGAATGGTATAAATTTAATCATAGCATTTTTTATACTTATGTGGCTTCTTTCTTTGATGTAACAACTAGGGAAAACAAGAAGTATTTCAAGGAGGCAATGAGGAGATTTGAAGCAATCAAAAAAATGAAGGAAGGGGCGAATAAAGAGGGCTGCCAATCCTCCAACGAATCGGTCTCGGATGAATTTTAAAGCAATAGTATGGAATGTGAGAGGTTTGAAAAAACCCTCCAAACACTCTACTATTTTAAATTTAGTTAAATTTCACCAAGCAAGCTTATGTTGTTTTTTAGAAACCAAAATGACAAAAATAAATATTTTTAATTATGTCTCTAATAAATGGCCCGGTTGGTCTTTTGAAACAAACCATGATTTTATTGATGGGGGGCGATTTTTAGTGTGTTGGAATCCTAATTTAATATCATGCAATTTGATTGAAATGGGGGAACAATATATGCATTTTAAATGTCTATGCCGCACTTCGCAAACTGTTTTCTTTGCTACCTTTGTATACTCACTTTATACAGTCTTGAGGCGCAAGGCATTGTGGGAATACTTGGCTCTTCTTGGGGATCAAATCAAAGACCCTTGGATTATAGCCGGTGATTTTAATTGTGTTTGTTCTCCTAGTGAGAGGGTGGGTTCGAATGCACCCTCGGACTATTTTTTAAGAGATTTGATTGAGTTTAAAATCCGTGCTAGCCTCCAAGATGCCCCCTCCACGGGAGAATTCTATACTTGGAATAGGGGATCTTTGTGGGCTAAGCTTGATCGGGTTTTGCTCAATAATACATGGGATCACCTAGGGATCAAGTGTAAGGCCCATTTCGATGAAATGGAGGTTGAGTTTGATCACACGGCTACCGTGATATCTATACTCAATAATACCTCTCTTAGGTCCAAATCTTTTAAATTTTTTAACATGTGGATTCAACACGATGCTTTCACTAACATACTTATGCAGAGTTGGAATGTGAATATCAATGGAACGGCTCAATTTCAAATTGCTAGGAAACTTAAGTTGCTAAAACAGCCGCTTAAGAATCTTAACAAATTGGAATTTGGCCACATCTCTATGAAGACAAAGAGTGCAAAAGATGAATTCAAAAGGCTAAACAAGTTGATGCTTGACTCACCCGATGATGCCGAGCTTAAAGAGCAAGTAAAGGTGGCGAGAAAGAGAGCTACTTTCCTTGGTGAGGCCGAGTGTAGCTTCTTCCAACAACGAGCTAAAGCTAAGCATATCCTTGAGGCCGATAAGGGAACAAAATACTTCCACGCAATCGTCAAGAGGAACATGGCTAGGAATACCATAACCTCCATTACGATGGATGATGGTAACCTCACCACGTCCATTGATCATGTTGGAAATGAATTTGTAAAATTTTTTGTTGATCTTTTTGGCACCGAGATGGAAACATTTTCCATTGACCAAACGGTACTAGGAACCGGCCCCTTGATTGAATCAAGTGTTCATGATAGCCTATTATCTCCGATAACTAGCAAAGAAATTAAAGATGCTTTGTTTGATATCGGGGATGACAAGGCACCGGGGCCGGACGGTTATTCCTCGGCATTTTTTAAGAAAAATTGGAATATTGTGGGGGAGGATGTGATCCGGTCGGTAAGGAGTTCTTTAACTCGGGAAGGTTGCTTAAACAGTTAAATCATACTGTTATAGCACTGATTCCTAAAACTAGTCACTCCCCTAAGGTCTCGGATTATAGGCCTATTTCATGTACTAATGTGCTTTACAAGATTATTACAAAAATTATTGCGGCAAGAATGATCCCGACCCTTGCGGGTTTGATTAACAAGGCACAAGGTGCATTTGTGGATGGTCGCCTAATGTTTGATAACATTTTCCTTGCCCAGGAACTTGTTAGAGGATACAATAGGAAGCGAATTTCACCTCGTTGTATGATAATGGTGGATTTGCGAAAGGCCTATGATACTATCTCGTGGGACTTTCTTGCCAATGTACTTAGGGGTTTGGGCTACCCCGACAGATTTGTGGGATGGATTATGGAATGTGTTTCTACCGCTTCTTTTTTTGTCTCTTTGAATGGTACATTACATGGTTTCTTTAATGGTAAGCGTGGCATTAGGCAAGGGGATCCAATGTCCCCTTTGCTCTTCGTTGTATGCCTTGAATATTTCTCGCGCCTCCTTACCATCAAAAGCATGGATTCGAGGTTTAATCACCACCCGCTATGTGGCTCATTGGGAATAACCCACCTGGCCTATGCGGATGATCTCATGCTCTTCTCGAGAGGAGACAAATATTCCATTGGAATATTGGTCGATGCCCTTAAAGAATTTGGGGACGTCTCAGGCCTTAGGGTTAACCATAATAAATCCAATATTTTCGTGGGGGGGGGGGGGCGTTAATGGGCTGGATTTGCAAAACATATTGGACCTCGTTGACTATGGTCGTGGAGTATTCCCGGTGAGATATCTTGGAATCCCACTAG